AGCGTTTCAAACAGCAGAAGTAGAAGGGACAGGGCTGCTGGTCGGTCACTAAAGAAATCAGCTCTGCTCACTCAGGTTTGGAAGGATGACTTAAATTCTGGCCATCTCCTGGTATCGTTGTTTGAGTTGTTCGGTGAAGACATTCTCTCCTTCGTTCCAGCTCCCGAGATGTGTTTGTTTTTGTAACTGTTTGTAGAAATCTTGAAACTTATGTCTAGGTGTACATAGTAAAAGATAGAATGAAAGATTTCAGGGAGAAATTTTTGTAAAAATGCAGTAGAAAATTGTCTCATGTTGTTATGAAACTTTACATTCAGAAATCATGTCATAAAATCCAAGAATTACAGTGAATCTTACTTTTCATTAGCAAAAAGGAAATCAAACCTAAAAAACAAGAATACACATAAGGCCCTTAAAAGTAGAAAGTAGACGATACTAATCTAGTAATGAGCTTAATTAAGCAACTGCTTAATTTTGGTGGACTCTCTTTCCACAGCTCTCTTCAGGAAGCTATCTTCTTCCAAAACCATTTTGACTGGCAAGAAACCCATCCCATTGGCCATAGCAAGCATCATACACTTGGTTTCAGCCTTGAACTCTTCCAAATCAACGGCCCCATTTGAGTCATGATCAAACTGCACAAACAGAGAGTCATAGACATGAGCAATCTCTTCTGGGTCTGGCTTCACATCAATGCCATAGTGCGTCTCGAAGACCCTCAGAGACTGAAGCTCCTTCAGCATCTCTGCATAAGAAAGTAGACCATCATGGTTAGTGTCAAGATGACCGAAACGGTGACGTACCGCAAGGTTGAATGCTTCTTCATCCTCCACAAACTTGACAATTGTGGCACCATCCAACACTTCTACGCTCATTTCCTCTTAAGCTAGCTTGAGTTTTGATCGCAAGAAAGTTAAGCTTTTGTAGGAACAAATTGGTATTGAGGGTATTTATAGACGCATGCATGGGGGACAAATATTGATCTTTTTGCCCCTTGTTTCTCCAATCCATGGGTTTTATCTTAGTTAATACGTACACAAACCAACTTTACATGCTGAAAAGAAAAGAAAG